TATTTCCTTCCTTTTTTATGTTAAAAGAGTGGAGCCGGGGTCAGAATGTGCTGTTTGTTGCTTGGAGCCAGTTGAAGAAGCAGCGTTAAAGGAAAAGTTAAACTTAAAGCGGTACTCCACAATGAATTAACCAGATACATGTAAAGTCATTCAGAGTGTTTTGATATAAAACTACATTCTAAGGAAACAACAGCTTGAGTGTGTTTACATGCACGCAATAATCCAATCATAATCAGATTTCTGCAGTTATCTGATTATTCAAATGGTCATGTAAACAGCACACTCTGATTTCTTAGAGCGAAGTAAGGTCTATAAATCTAATTAAGAAATCTGATAAAGAGGTTGGATTTTAGCACAGTAATTAGATTTCTTAGGGCATGGGTACCCTTACTCTGATTTCTTTCGGATTTCTCAGTCTGAGCACGTGCATGTCCTGAAATTAGCAATCAGTGCTGGCAGCGAAGCTGAAACCAAATACATTCTCAACGAAATGAAGGATTTAAATCTTCATCTTCTAGATGATGTATGTTCATATTTTTAGGTAAAGTGGCACGATTTTCTTAAAAAAAAAGCAGTGCATGAAGTTTACGTCACGTCTTCTTCTGTGAGTTTATTGGCTGGTTGTAAAGCAGAAATCTGATTACTGTCTGACTCATGTAGACCTGGAGCTTCCCCATTATCTGATTACTCAAGTGCATGTAAACTTGTTGATCGGATTACTGACAAAATCCGATTTTATGCAGTTATCAGATTATTAAGTGCATGTAAACACACTTGGTGTGAACAGTTTCTTAGTTCTATTCATATTTAATATTTGTGATAAACCATAAAACATAACGTGCATTAACTTTTGCACAGGTCACACGTTTTTTTTCTCAGTAAAATTTAGCTAAATTTAGCAAATGAACAGTAATTGTGCATTAAGTGTAAAGGATTTTCATTTTACCCGGAAACTTTTATCATATTTCAAGTGTTTATTCATGGAAAAGCCTGTGGTGATCGACTGTACACTACAGATTAGCAGGTCAAGATCAGGTTGACAAAACATTGGAGTATTTCTTTAAGTGAAGGTGTTGAGAGGATGTTACCAGGTTATTATGAAAGCTAGCACTGACTGAGTTCCTAGTTACTGAAAAAAGTATGCTTTGCACATTTGTATTCCATTAAATTCCACTTCTCTCATTTTGCATTTGCCCAGTCGATGTTTAGTGTATTTTCCGAAGTGCTTACGAGGCTCACGTGCCGCTCAGTTTACGCACTCACACTTCTTTTTTTTTCATCAGTCAGTAAATAAAGTTTTGAAAAAACAAGTCGCTTGACATTCCTCCTGATTTGTCACTGAGATTCTTCTGCATGGCCCCGGTTTATAACAGTATCACTGACGCAAAGGACCATGTCTGTTTGGTTGTTACTGGCGCCCCTTTGTGGAGAAGCGTCAGTCTGCTAAACATGAGCGAGTGAGTTACAAGCTGGTTTCATGAGGTTCTTCTTATCTATAAAACTAACATATAATGTAAAAAAAAAATACACTCTTAAAAATGGTTCTTCAAGGGTTCTTTAGTAAGGACAGTAGTTGTATAAAGAACCATTAACACTCAAAGAACCCTTGGCATGATCCAAGCGTTCTTTAGATTGATGGAAAATGTGCAGTAGATGCTTCTATTTTAAAAAAAAAATGTTCTATATAGCACCAAAAAGGGTTCTTCTATCAATTCAATGTCAAGGATGTAACAAAAGAAGAACATTTTGGTACTATATAGAACCCTTTTCAAAAAGGTTCTATATAGAACCATAGACAACATATTCTCCTTTAATCTGAAGAACACTTTCACAGTACAAAGAACTCTTTGATCATGCAAAGGGTTCTTTGAATGTTTGTGGATCTATATAGAGCCATTTTCTTTACTAAAGAACCTTTGAAGAACCATCTTAAAGGAATAGTTTGACTGTTATCTATGAAAGTGAACAAAAGGATGTAGCTTTGGTAAAAACAGCAGTAGAAGCCTGAATGGTGACCACACTTTTGTCCATTTTTATAGAAAATATTAGGTCATGGTGTAATTTCTGACACAGCAGTGCTGCTGGAGTTTTTAAACACTGTGTCCACTCACTGTCCACTCTATTAGACACTCCTACCTTGTCAGTCCACCTTGTAGATGTAAAGTCAGAGACGATAGCTCATCTGCTGCTGCACAGTTTGTGTTGGTCATCCTCTAGTCCTTCATCAGTTGTCACAGGACGCTGCCCACAGAACACTGTTGGCTGGATGTTTTTGGTTGGTGGACTATTCTCAGTCCAGCAGTGACACTGAGGTGTTTAAAAACTCCAGCAGCACTGCTGTGTCTGATCCACTCAGACCAGCACAACACACACTAACACACCACCACCACGTCAGTGTTACTGCAGTGCTGAGAATGACCCACCACCCAAATAGTACCTGCTCTGTGAGGGTCCATGGGGGTCCTGACCACTGAAGAACAGGGTAAAAGGGGGCTAACAAAGTATCAGAGAAACAGATGGACTACAGTCTGTAACTGTAGAACTACAAAGTGCACCTATATAGTAAGTGGAGCTGATAAAATGGACAATGAGCGTAGAAACAAGGAGGTGGTCATGATGTTAGGTCTGATTGGTGTATAAATATGGGTGAATTTCAGGGAGCTTCCATTACCCAATGCTAAATCATGTACATAAGCTTCCAGCTTAGCCTCGTAGCTCCAGAGCTAAAACAAAGAAACAAACTCCAGACACCAAACAAGTCTCAGCTGGTCGACTACTTTTAGCGCAAGAGGGCCAAATGTGGACCAAACTGTCGCTGTAGGAGATCCAATCTCAAGAATAAAGCAACTGCAGAATAAACCCCACTACCTGAAACTGATTTGCTACAAAACTAGTCTGATATTATGCCTAGATATCTAGTATCTACTCTGACGCAGAACTAGACCAAGCAGCACAAAATCCAGAGGCTAATCCAGGCCTTCTGGCTGACATTTGTTGTTTCCTGTAGTCCAGGGTGAAGTTGTGAATGCACTTTATTAGCTAACACTGCCCCCTAGTGCACTTGGATGCACATTACATACATATATATGTACAGTAAGTGCTCCTACTTTTGTGTTTAGTTCTTTTGAAAATGACCACCCAAGGCTGGATTCTCCAAGCTTCATGGATGACAGTTGTCAATCATCTTACGACCCACTTATCCTGGGACTACTCCGTGACCTCGCCTCACGTTTCCTAAAGTAGACGAGTCAATTCACCTGGCTCCAAATGTGATGGAAAGGTGATATCAGCTGTTTGTCTATCTACCAATGACAGTCAGCGTTCCAGTTTACACGCAGCCAATAGGAAAGGAGTGAGAAAGCTTATTTTTTATGTTTTTATAATTTATACGTGATTGTTTATGCTTTCATATACACATATATAACTAATGTCTGACCGTTTATGTTACTGAATGCAGTTGAATGCAGAATTTAAACACCCCCTGGTCAAATGATGTTTTGTTGATTTTCTTAGTAAAAATAAGTTAACACACCCTCTACAGAGAGCAGACGTCTGCAGATTTTAATGCACAATTACTGTTTATTTGCTGAATTGAACATAAAAAAAAACATAAAATGTGAAAAAAATTATACATTTTATGCAGAAAAATACCATATTTAAGTTGTTTCCTGTGAAATTCTCTATTACGAAAATCAACAAAAGGGGTCATTTAACCAAGGGATATCTATCAATAAATAAATCTATCTATATAGAGAGCGAGAGAGAGAGCACTGTGGTCAGAAGAAAAACCTCGTATCTCCATTTTTGACGTTTTTCAGTTTTTGACAAAATTAAAAATGCCTGTTGTCCTTTATATTGTATGTAAATTTCATTTGACTTACATTAAAAGTAGGTTTTTTCCTTCCCCTGTAAAGTTACCATTTTGGAGATACAAGGTTTTTATACAAGGTATATATATATATATATATATATATATATGTACACACACATCATCTTCTACATGGGGTAAATTCTTTTCTGCTCAGTGAGTGATGAGACAGGAGATGAGGTTTGTCATCAGGTAATATACACTACATGGACAAAAGTATGTGGACAACTCTCCTGATTATTGAGTTCTGGTGTTTCAGTGTGTAATGCGTAAAAATTGCCTTTTTTTCTGTTGCGTCACTCATTACAGTGTACCAACCTGCCTCTGGAAGCAACATCAGCACAAGAACTGTTTGTCAGGAGCTTCATGAAATGGGTCTCCATGGCTGAGCAGCTGCACACAAGCCTAAGATCACTATGCCCAATGCCAAGCGTCGGCTGGAGTGGTGTAAAGCGCCACCACTGGACTCTGGAGCAGTGGAACTGTGTTCTCTGGAGTGATGATTCAGCTTCTCTATCTGTCAGTCTGATGATGAATCTGGGTTTGGTGGATGTCAGGAGAACGTTACCTACCGGAATGCACAGTGCCAACAGTAAAGTTTGGCTGAGGAGGGATAATGAGCTGGGGCTGTTTTTCAGGTCCCTTATTTCCAGTGAGGGGTGACATTAATGCTGTTCCAGCATGACTGTATCCCTGTGCACAAAGCGAGCTGTACTTTATCTGGTACACCTGCTAATCGCTAGCTAAAATACCCAGTTGGCTGCTAGGCTAAACACAGAGATGCAACTTTATAATGTGGAATAAACATCAGCAACTAATTGTAGTGCCAACTTTTAATATTTACTCTTCTATAGGTGAGACATTGTAAGAATCTCGCATCAACTTTTGACAGTGCCAGTTATTATCATTATGCTAAGTCGAGGTCTGGGCAGGACAAAAACTAGCATAATCATGCACAGTAGCATGACTTGTTCCATTAGTCTACCTAGTCTACTTCAATATTTCAGCATATTTTTAATCAGCAGTGACAATACAAGCATGTGTAGAGTCAGAAAGCCACATTCTGAGTTAGAGTGAATAGTGTTTAATGCTAACTAGCCTGCTACCACATTCATTATCACCAACGACCATGTTTTTGGTTTAACTATTCCTTTAATGCACATGGAAAAGAACAAGAACAGTTCAATTGGGCTAAGATTACCATCTTAGTTCAGGGAAGCTTTGCACCTACACCCAGAAATGCTAATGTTGCTAACTATGAAATGAAGGTTTTGGGGTCAAGCTAGCGTATTGGCTTAAGTGTGATGCAAAGTCCATTGGAAATGACACCTTTGTGGACTGAATCTCTCGTAAGCTGAGAGCGAATATCTTGTCTAATATCATGTTTATTCTCTAGTCCACGGTACAATAAATAGCCTAAAGATCCCAAAGTCCATTAATAAAATGGTCACCTCACTTTAGCTTTAGTGCCTTAGCGTGCTAAAATAAGTACAAATCTGTTCATTACAATGATTGCAAAATAACTATGTACATTACTCTCATTATCATCTGCACCATCAGGAAAGAAAAGGGAAAGGAAGAAAGGGAACAGGTTAAATTAAATAAGACCTTCCTCTTTACAGTTAAAAGCTAAATGCTGCATGTTTCGAAGATTGCACGGCATGCATGCGGCTATGGCAGCGAAATATATCACCTCTCACCCCCTGCTAAACCGTAGGTAAGCTTATCCTCTGTACTTAAAACACTGTACATTTAAGAGTCTGTTAGCAATGATAATCCCCAAACGAACCAAGTCTTAACTTCCCAGATGCAAAGACTGCTACATGCATATATTGTCCTTTAAACATTACATTTCAACGCGTAATAGTGGTTAACGTGGTCCCCTCCGCTGTTTTGGTGTTTGCGTCGGTTTGATTTGGCCATAACTGGTGGTGGTGCATCATCACTGGTTCTGGGTAGGTGTTCTTTATGTACCATCCATTGGTCTGAATCGGTTCCTCATTGGGTCACCCATCAATTTTGGGCGTACGTCCTGTAATTTGCCGCAGTCTGTCCGAGTCGAAGTGGATTAAGCTGTATTTGGCTGTCGTACATTCAGTAGTTCTAGGCTGAACAGTTCGTGTTTGTCTCAGTTCTGCGCTGAGCTGGTCTCCGCGGGTTTAGGATCATCCTCCTCGTCCCCGCTCAGGTCCAGTTTGAGGCTTTCCAGCGTCTGCCTCATCATCATCGAACCCTTCCGTCTGCAAAACAAACGGACAAATGTGGATTGAGATGCTGCTGTTTCACGAGCTTGAACAAATTTGTCAACAAACATTTACAGCTGCTAACGTTCTTATTGTGGGGTTTCCGCTTGATGTGAATAAAAACAATAAGTAAAAACAAATAAATAAAAACAATACACCAAGCTTTTTTGGGCAGGTGGGCGATTTTTACTAGAGCTGGCTATTGAAATGTAATGCTTTAGGCCCGATCTCATTTCACCCCTCGCCCCTACCACTTAGCCCTTACCCCTCCGTTTCACGTGTTCACGTCTAGGAGTAGGGTGTCCCGATTCTTGTTGAGATAGAGGGGGAGGGTGAAGTGTTGGGGCTACATGACCCTCCAAACGGAGGTTTTTCAGAGACTCCAAACAGAGAGATATGAGAAAAAAAGAAAAACCGGCAAGATGGAGAACAAGAGACCAAAGAAACACACGAATGTGAGAATTTTCTCTGTTAAAAAATTTAAATAATCACTGTTCTGTTATCTTAGTTTAATGTCGTTTCAATGTATTATGGTCCTTTTCTTCATAACAAGCATAAAAAAATCACTCGTAGTTTGCTGATGTCTCGGTAGCTAGCTCACTCAATTTCCCATTCCACCTTAAATGGTGTCAGAACTGCTGCACCATTTAAGGTGGAACAGGAAAATTTGAACAAGAAGCTGGTGAATATCTGACTTCAGCTTTGTATCACCAAAGAATCAGCGGTGGGCAATAATAAATAATTGTCTTATACTCCCTCTTTGAAGGCATATGATGCCCTAAATGTAACTAAAGCCCAGCAGTGAGGAGCTGAACTTGCAGACTAGCAGGGTCGCCTACAGAGCAGCGCTGGTAGCTGTTAATGAAGTGATGCTCTTTTTATTTGAGGGTCCCATTTCAACCACTAATGATAACCACTAAAGATTTCAATCACTAATGCTTGTGACGTGAGAAGAGGAGAAGTAGGAGTTACAAGATGTATGAAAGGATATATAATTGGAAATTAATATGTGCATGAATTGCACGCTGTCCCTGCATGCTTTTGAATGTCTCCCCTTAAAATAAAGCATTTTCACACCACTTGTGTGTGTTTTAACTCACTTCATCTGCAGCTGCAGGTCCATCAGCTGTTTCTGCAGCCGTGCGGTGGTCTCTCTTTCCTCCGCCAGCTCTCTCTGAGTGTGTCTGTACTGGCTATCTCGCCGACCGGCCTGCTCCTCGGCCTCGTTCAGCTGCCTCTTCAGAGAGCGCATCCGCTGAGTCATCTACACGCACAGAAACGCCACAGAGACAATGAGATATACAGGTACAGCAGGTATGTAAGTCCTATAGGGTGAAGATGGGTTCTTTACATTGTTGTACTGAGTATATAGATGTTATTTAACCTGTATTCCTAAAGTAGGTGCTAATTATGTCGACTGTGTCTCATAAAATATTTTCAAATACAGATTTGTAACCTTAGATAATAATCAAAATGACTAAGAGTAGCAAGAAATTATTTTATGAGCTTAATAATGTGAGACTAAAATGATTAACATTTTTATTATTTTTTTTTTATTATATATATTATTTATTAATAACTTTGGCTATTAATTAAAAACTCAGCAACACTTAGTAACACTATAAACACTATAAATGGCAACTTAGTCATCATTATTTAATAGTTTATTAAGAATAGAATAATTATATGATTGTTACTACTAACTAACAAGTTATGAGTTGTGAATATCAAATAACTATCATTAACAATGATTACTTTTTCACTATTCAAAATAATTATTGATTATTCATGCCACTAACTCAATGATTAATAATTAAACTTATTAGCATATACAAATGCATATGCAAATATTTTTAGCAATCATCTATCAGATAATGATTAATTTATTGTTTATTAGGGCCTGTCATTTGAAAGTGTTACCTAAGTTAGCCTAAGAGGATTTATATATATATATATATATATATATATATATATTTAGTCCTAGATGTATTAAGGTACCTTGACAGAGTAAATAGAACATATGAATAGAACGAGGATGTGTTCGTATTAAACACTCTAAAGGCTGATTTCTGTCGCCATCTGGTGGTGAGTAGAAATCAACGCAGCTGCACGCTGCCCTCTGGTGGTAAAAAGGTGGTAAAAAGCTGTAAACGTACCAGGTCTTTCTGCTCGTTGGAGAGCCGGTGCTCCTCGTCCAGCTGTTCTGTGAGCTCGTTAATCTTCCTCTCCAGCTTAGTGATGGTGTTATTCAGCCCCACTTTGCTCCTGCAGAACAAGAGTTGAAATGTTTTTACTGCTGTGAGCATCCCGACCAATCACAGTTTCCAGTGAGTTCCTCTGGGTGCTTTGTCTCAAGATCTTAATGTAATCCAACAAATTTGGTCAATAAAGGCCAGTCTTTAGCCATGTCACAATATTTTTTTTAATCAATACAGTTTTAATATCTTGTGAGGTATAAAACAGTTGCATTGTGTGTCAATATATATTTTCACAATACTAAAACAATTAGCCACAAGAAGCCTTGCCTTACAGTGTAGGCACGCTTACAAGATGTTTTAAACTGTGGTAAATGTAGTTTGTTAACAAGCAACTTAAATGTGCAGTATGTAAGATTTAGTGGCATCTAGTGGTGAGGTTGCAGATTCTTCATGTTTTCTCTTCTTTGACGACCCTCCTTTGCTTCTTTTTGTGCTAAATAATAAGTTTGATCCTCCATTTGCCAAATGGTCAAAGATAAATTCTTGGTTTTAATAACTCAGTACATTAATGCTAGAAAAGCAAAGGCCCTAAAACTGAACCTGGTGGGACTCCACAAGGAATATTAAAGTTTTTTGATGAATGATTTCTCAGTGAAACCAAAAACTGTCTGTTCATTAAATATGATTTAAACCATTCTAAAGCAGTGATGGTGGATTAGAAGATGCTGACAGATGCACTAACATCCAATAAGATCAAGACAGAAGAATTTTGTGTATCAGATTTACATACTTATTTACATACATTTATTTTGTATGATACATTTCTATGTATAATATTTCCACAAAAATGTAGAAATAAATGTATTTTAAATATATTTGGGTAATGTGACATTATGTTTTTGAATATAATATTTTACACACACACACACACATATATATATATATATATATATATATATATATATATATATAAGTTGTATACTGTAAAACTGTACAAATTGTTCATCTTTATGTTTGAAGTATTGCCATATATTGTTCCACTTAGATTTTTGCCACTTTTACTAAATGAGAAATCAAAGCCTGTTGGTTTGAGGCAATATATCAGCTGCTCCACACTTTTTTTGAATACTCAATTTTCAAGCAAAAGTATAAACAATTATAAGACCTATAATCTATACTTTTGATTAAAAAAACAGTGCAGTTTTCCTGTCTGCCTGTCATGAAAGTCTTTGTGAAACAGTTTTTTTATTTAATTATAGACTTTAAAAAGGCAAACGATCCAAAAGTCAGAAAGCAACCAGATTACATTACTTTAATCATAGTAATCTTTTGGATTATGTCACATAGGTTACCTTTTAACAGGTCTGTACTGTAATATGTATGTTACATATTTTATTATAGCCTCAAACGTGATACGGCCTGATTTCAGAACAGGAACTGTTCTATTGTATAACGGCCAAATCCTGCAGCCTCATCACGCTGGTGTGTGTTCGTACCTCTCCTCAGCTCTGAGCGCGTTCTCCAGTTCTTTAGCTCTGCTCTCCGCTTTAGTGATCACGTGTTCATGAACTCTGTTGTTCTGCAGCTCCTCAATCTCACCATTCAGCTCTCGGATCTGAGAACAAGTCGTCACCATCAACATTAACATCATCATAAACATCATAACTCTTTTCTTCAGTTTTTATTAGTCTGCACTGTTTGAAAACACCTGGCGCCACATTCACAAAAGCCTTATTTGAAGGCTACCATAGCTCCATAACACATTCATAGGTATTAAATAAATATTCAAAGTATTTAAAAAGCAATGCTCCTGAATTTGTGAATGGCTTATGTCAGTATTCACAAGATGACATTAGATGCTTTATAACACGAAATAATTGCTGTTATGAGTGCAGTATATCAGCTCTACGACGGATGTTCTTAAATTAAAATGATACGGGAAAATTGTTGTTCTTAATCAGGTCTGTGACTTATATGTTTCATTGATTGTGAAAGGCACTTCATAACAACGTTATAATGGATGAACTGATATCATTTACGTCACACATATGCAGGTTTCTATACCTGTCTCTCCAGGATGACCTTCTCACACTCCAATTTGTCATTGAGATCTTTCTCCTGGATCAGTTTCAGCTGCAGCTGTTCACACTGCAAACCAAAAACAACATTATTCAGCATAAACCAACATGCTTAAGTCACAGTATAATAGTTGGGTCCAGTTAGCACTGCTGTGAAATAGTATCCAAAAATGTTTGGCCCCTTTTAACCACCATCCCTTAGATCAGGGGTCACAACCCAAATGTTAAGAAGAGCCATTTCAAAAGTGTTTCAAAGTGTTTCAACAAAAATCGAAACACTTTGGAAGCCACAACACTTCATGTCCATTTTAGCATCTTGGCTGTAAATCTGTCTCAGTATGTGCTGATGTACTAATATAGACTAAAAAATATAAACAAAAACACAGACTTTCTCTGCTCTGCGTTAAGCTTTAGCTCAGCTATAGCTGCTTTTCTCACATCTCCAGGAGGAAACTTTTCCTCAAAAGTAGAACAGCTTCTTGTAAAATGTCTCTCAACGTTTGATTCTTTATGAGGCTAAAGTCGCTTCTCATTTGCCAGCTTCTTGTTCGAATTTTCCCGTTCCACCTTAAATGGTGCCTGAGGCACCAGAATATAACTCCTGCGCCATTTAAGGTGGAACAGGAAAATTAGAAGAAGAAGCTGGCGAATGAGAAGCGACTTCAGCCTTGCGACTTTTTAGTGTTTGTCAGTTTCTCATTGCAGATAAAACGTATCAGGAAACCAGCTGGAGTGATTATAAACGCTAATAAGTCCATTTTTCTCCTAATCATTATCAATGTCAATCTTAAATCTCTCTCTTTGCCGTTTCGTTAGCTACTTGCTAGGCAAGACTGTTGTCTGTGTTGCTATGGTGACCAGCAGTCTGCGCTGATCTTCAGGGTTAAAGGGTGAATCAGCAGTTCTACATTAACTCCAGAGTTTAAGACCATTTATTGTTAAACTGTGTTGAACGATCAGCAGAGCTTTATTTTACTGTAAAGGAGGATTATTTTATTTTTACAGACAAATCTGATTCTGCTGTGGAGCCACAACAGGGCAGTAAAAGAGCCGCATGATGCCGACCCCTGACTTAGATTCTTAGATACTCAGCAAATTACCATTTTACAGCCATGATGGTATGAGCTGTGAGAATTGATACGGCAGAAGATTGTAAACGATTAAATTATATCATGTGTTTACTAACCTGTTCTAGCGCTTTCTTGTGTTTGCCGGCCCATCTCTGCTCGTTCTCTTGCATCTCCTCCAGATCAGTTTCCAGATCAATCAGCTTTTCCTGAAACACAGAAAGAGGCTGTTACACCTTGTATTGACATGGATTTTAACTTTCTAATATCTGTTACTCCCATATGGGATAATGGTATGTTAGCTCTAAGCTAACAGTGATTCGCATAGACATTGTTTGGACTGTTCTAGATTAAAAATGAGCTTTTGAAGCTTGTAAAAGATTCCATGTTTTATCTAAAGCTTGTAACAGACATTAACCTACATTTGAGCTCGTATGTATCAGTCTCTCTTTCGGTAAAGAGTCCTGCATAGAGCTGCTGCCCCTGTTTTACATTCCTAACAACCACCTGGAACCTGGCTGGACTACGACTGACACTCACAGTCAGTGATGTGTCTAGAACTTCTAGAAGGCCAAGATTGATATATAATAATTGATAATAATCAAAACATGATTGGTTGATTCCTCTGTCGCTTCCTACTTATGTTGTATAGATAATCTAATGTATAAGGTTTTCTGTTGAGCTCCTGAAGTCCTAACCAATGGGAGAGCTCGGTTGGCTGTATCTACCTTGATAGTAGCAGGAAATAAACCCTGATTGGACAGTTTTCCATTGGGCTGCGTAGATATGTGTCACGGTGTGGACGAGGGACACTAGACGAGCGATTTATTGTCCACGTTCATGTCGACGATACAACACCCAAGAGCTTCTCCACGACAGGTTTGATACAGCTTTAAAACACCACATTCTGTTCAATATGCAGTAATAAATAATAGAATTCATCCCTTTAGATGACTGAACAGGCTCTGTTTTCAAGGATGCTGACTTTTATAGGCACATACTGTACATGGTGTAATAATACTATAATGCTTTTATTTATTGTCAGCATAGTTTGGTCCTAATAAAATTATATGACTTTAACGATAATAAAAGTGTTTTTTATCTTCATCAACTTTTTTTGGTCATCAATAAAATAAAAGACTTTTTTTATTTTGAAGTTTCAGTTTCGGCCAAGAACTTTAATCACTAATATAATAACAGGCACAACTTCAACCTCGTCCATTTCTGGCTGGCAAAAAGTTTTTTTCCTTAAGTTATATTGTTTTATATAGTCTATAATCTATTAGGCTTATCGAACATTGCATTTTGAATGTCTGTAGTATTTGCCAGGCATTATTCATTGTAGTATTTGTATTAGCCTACAATGCTAATGTTTATTGGCCAATCTTTCCATTGTGGCTGGCTTAATAATGTGGCTTTTACCACTATAGGCACTAATTATTGACTGGTCTCTAGCAAATGCTAATACTTCATAATAAAAAGGTATGTTTTTGTTTGCCGTGGCAGTTATTACTGTTAATATAAGTATTATTATTATTGCAGTAGTACTTTCTCTACAGTGAACATATTGGTGGGTTTATTAGCGGTTGTGATTGTGTTAGCTGTGTTCAGTGTGTGTGTATGTGTGTGTATGTTACCTGTGCTTGTTTGACCTGTTTGGACAGGTCATCTCTGTTCTGTGTGACGGTCTGCAGCTCCATCTGTAAATCCTCCACCATCCTCTCAGCCTGTTTGCACTGCAGCTGTGCCTTCTCCCTCAGCTGGATCTCCTCCTCCAGAGAATGCTCCTTCTCCAGCAGCTTATCGGACACCTGCACTCATACAAATGCAAGGATTTACACTACGAGTCTTTTACAGTCAGTATTAATCCACTCAGCATTGACGGCTTCAGACAGCTGAAAAACACTGCTGAGCTAGTTTGCGTTTAACGTGAGGCCAAATGTTCTCTATGGGGTTTAAATCTGGAGTCCAAAGCCATCAGTAAAAACTGTAAAATTTTGGGCTCAGCCCATTTGTTTGGCCCAGGAGTGTGTATGTGTGTATATGTACCTCTCCCTGTAGGCGGCTGACGATCTGCTGGAGGCGGAGCACCTCCTGGTCTTTCTCCAGTATGCTCTCCTCCAGCTCCTCCACTCTCAGCTGGGCGTCCACCCTCAGCTTCTGCTGCAGGCTCAGCTCAGCGTTGGCCTGGGACGCCTGCTGCAGAGCCTCAGCGAGCTAACACACAACCACGAAATTAGAAGCTGCATTCTGTACGTGAAATCGGACAGGGTCTGTATGTGTTCACTGCCTTACGGAGCCCAACAAGATACCAGGTTCGGTTTCAAATGAGTGATTTTTTATGTAGTAGATTTGAAGTATTGTGTCTATGCATATGCTAAGCAAGGTAACACATACAGACCAACAAAATATTTGGTTTCAATATTTTGTTATTTTAACAATTAATTATCAATAATATTTAGGAGCTGAACTAGGCAGGGAATCAGGGAAATGGCAGGGTTTTGGTGTTGGCTTCCCTGTTATATTTACTGCATATCGATCCCGTTCAGAACAAAACCTCGTAGCTCCATTTTTGTTTTTCAGTTTCTGACATAGTCTGAAAAGCCTGTTGTCCTTTATAATGTGTGTAAATTTCATGATGAATGGACCGAAAGAAACGGCCGAAAATGACTTGGAAAGACGTCTGGTTCCATTGACTTACATTAAAAGTAAAGTATGTTTTTTCCTTCTCCTGTAAAGTTTCCATTTTGGAGATGGTCATTCTACAGAAACGTCCGTTTTTTGTGTCCCTAGCGTTTACAGACTTATCACCCTTGAAAAACATGTTAGGGTTACAATTTATTTATATTTTAAAATAAAACAACAAGTTATTTTAACAATTTCACCTTCTTTAGCCGTCAATTTAGCAATATTGGCATTTAAATTATACAGAATTCCAAGCGCCACAGAAGTGCTCACACAGTCATGTCACAGGGTGAGGCCATATTTTCAGGTAAAAAAACATGTTTTTCTGCAATTTTAACTTCTATAATCTATACATGACTATGAAATATATGATTTAAATGACACAAAAACAATATATTATAAAATGTATAATGAAAGTTCCCCAGGAGTCGTGTCACTGGTGTTACTGCGTTAAAAAAAGTCTCTTATTTTGAAATAAAAATCACACTGATGACATCACTCGACTTCCTTTTACCTGTTTTCTGAGGATCTATGAAGAAAAGCACATGGTGAGTCCACTGTGTCTTTCAGTTATCAGAGATTTTCTCATTTAGCTCATGATTTCATATGAAGCTTTTAGCTGAAGTCACTGGTGTGACCGACTTTATTCTGAGGTTACTGTGAAAAAATAGATTACAAATGGATTAAATTCCATATTTTAGTGGATATTCCATGATTCGCAACATGTGGTTTGATGCTCTGTAGGTGTTATTTTGTAAACAGCATTGTTCATTAAAAATGTCTCTGGTGTTCCTTTATTATGTGTAACACCAATGAGAGATAAAACAGTGGACGTTTCTGTAAAATGACCCAGATATGAGGTTTGGTACCGACAGCAGCGATATACATTCATACTGCAGTGAATAATACTGAATTAACTTACTTAAGTTAAACAGGAAAAAATCTAAGCGACAAAAGCAGTGTTTGGGTCTCTGAGGGTCAAATAAAACGATGATGATGATGATGATCTTTATTGTCATTCTTATTACCTCTGTCTCTAATTTCTGTACGTTAGTGCCGAGCTCCACTGCCTTCTTCCCTTTCGTCTCTTTCTCCAGCTCCAGTTCTTCCAGGTTCCTCTCGGTCAGCCACAGTTTCTCCGACAGCATCTGCGCGTGCTGCGTCTGCTTCTCCAGGGCTTCCTGTATCACATTCACGCGCAGTCAGCAAGAACAGCCATGTTTACAGACAACCAGGATGAAACACAAATGCATACAGTGGTAAACAAACAAGCCCACATTTACAGATAACCAGTGTAATACAATGTAAGACTCTGATTTCCTGCAATAATGGTGGTTGTTATAGCGTAGTGGGTAACATCGCTGCCTCACTCTCTGTTCTAGACTCATAATGCTATATTTACGGAACTAAAAGTGTAAGTCACCCCGAATATGAGTGTATAAATGTACATGCAATAACAACACACGCACCTCAGCGTCCTGGATCTTGTTTTTGAGCGACTGCTGCAGGAAGTTGAAGGCATATTCCTGAGTGTTTGCTTCCACCATCACCTCTCGAGCCTCTTTCAGTTCCACCTGCAAAACAAATTGATTTTAATTCTATTAGTTTCAAAATTATTAGACATTTTGTATCTGCAAGAATCCATTCAATGGGTTGATATTTGTTTGATAGCTTTCATAACGTTATAAACTCATTAATTTAATGTTAACACATAGAAATTGTCAAGTGGTGCGACCACATATTAATAAAATTATATTTTAAAGTTATTTTTACAACAGCTGAAAGGGTGTGTGAATTAGTCTTTGTACTTGGACACTCTTGGAAAACATTTGTCATTGAAATCAAGGTTATATATATTTTTAAACAAATACACTTTATAATAATAACACATAATCATGGTTTTCCTGGAGTCACGCCACATGAACCAGCTTAAAAATGACTCAGAAATTACACTATTTTCTAAAATTTGTTGACCATTAAGGTACAATACAAGTTCTTTGTGAGTGGGTCTTCTTTATGATGCAATACCTGCCCACTCTTTTTTTTAAAGCATGTTAAAATAAATAATAATAATAATAATAATAAGTGCTGGCCAATCAGGATTTTTTTTCTGTGGTATCTAGGTATTGCTAAGCTCTCCTAGTTAGGGCTTCAGGAGCTGAAGAGAAGGCCTAATGCATTAGATTAACTTGCATAATTATGAACTGAGAGAGGAATCAACCAATCACGTATTGATTTCTAATAGGCTGGACCAATTTTGTGAGAAAAAGTGTCACTCTGGATGTTCTAGATACATCACTGACTGAATACGAGCAGCAGCCAATCAATGGTTATTTAGAAACAGCAGCAGCTCTATACCAGAGCTCAGAGAGAATGTCTTCTAGGACTTCAGCCTCAACACAAAGTGCTAATTGCTGTTAGCTTATTGCTAACAAACTTTTAGAACACTATAGGGACGCTAGGAGAAGTTAGCATCATCCCTAGGTGGGTTTATTCCTCATGCTTTGACCGAGTTTTGACATTTATGGCCCAAACTGACAGCTCTGCGTTTATAGTTACGGCTCATCACTATAAAATCACTGCACTGCACTGCATCCTGCAGCTTTTTGCTGTGTACATAATGCTATCTGACCTCCATCTGTCTGAAGCGCTCCACCATGACGTTGTTGTTGCTCTCCAGCTCCACAATCCTGTCCCTCATCCTCTTCAGGTCCCCCTGCAGCTGAGTGTTCATACGCAGCAGGTCCTCGTTGTTCACCAACAAGCCTCTCATTTCGAAGCGGATCTGAGTGCGCTCCCTTTCCAGCTCGATGCTTTCGGCCTCCAGGAACTGGTTCCTCTGTGGAGGGTGAGAGACATACAGAGAGAAATGGAGAGAGAAACATTGAAAATGTAGACAAATTACAGTTCATCTTTAATTTGTATTTTTGTATTTATTGTAAAAATATGATCAGAACATGAAAATATTTAAAGATATTATTAGCACAGCAATTAATGGGTATCAATTAAGGCTAATGATACAAATATGCTGTGGGACAAAACATCGTCTCCATTTTTGTTTTGTTTTTTTTGACACAATTTGAAAAAAGCAGTTTCCTTTTATGTTAGGTCAAAATTTCATGATGAACAGACCAACAGAAATGGTCCAAAATTACTTGGAAAATATATATTTTTTCATTTAGTTCAAATTCAAATTTTCCTTGTCTGGAAAAGTTACGTTTTTGAAGAAATTTGAAGATTTTTTTTTTCAGAAAAAAACTATATATACACATGTGTATTGTGTGAAGTGTTGCGATGTTATAGTTGTGCCATATCGCATCCCCTTCTGATCAATAAATAAGGATAAATAAATAAATAGGTGTAGACAAAAACAGCGTTTGTATAGTGTAGATGTGGTTGGTCCTGTGCTCACTCTCTGACAGGTGTCCAGCTGTTTGGTCAGTTCTTCGATGTAATCCCGTTTGTTGGGTAAGTTGTTCCTCATTAACAGCTGAGACGGAGGAGTCTGCTGTTATAAGAGACACAACATCCAGTGTGAACACAATCAAAGACACAAATCACAAACTGTGGCTGAGTGAAATCACTCTGATGAGACGGAAACATTAAGTGGAAATATTTTAATCAGTGACCTACTGTTTATATTACACTGCTAATCTGCACAGTGACGGATTTAAGGAATGGATGAAGTGATACTGTGACATTCAGCTAACAACCAGGTTTCAACATGGCTGTTTCAGAAAAGACTATACGAGCCCTGACAGTAAAAAAAAAGTCAGTACTCAGTATTTCAATTTACAATTACTTTTACAATTACAATTACAATTACTTTCCATGTGCAAGAACTCTCAACATCACTGCCACAGCACTTTACTGTGTGCAATATCTCAATCCACCATGCGTAGTATATTCACTGCGGATCATTGTCAACATGTTTACCACCATTATGTGCAATTATGTCAAGTGCAATATTTCTCCATTTATTTACTGTTTATTTATTTGCTATTTTATTCACTGTGCAATACTCACTACAATACATACATTTCTACATTTCTAAATTTAAATTTAATACTTTGTATATTTTTCTTGTAATCTTTGTACATATACATATATATCTTATACTTTTTTTTATTTTTAAAATTTTTATTCTATTTTATATATTGTTTGTATATTTCCTGCTGCTCTGTCTTCTGTGCTGCTGTAACACCGCAAATTTCCCCGTTGTGGGATTAATAAAGGATTATCTAATCTAATCTAATCTAATCTAATCTAATTCAGTTATGAATCAATTTTAGTACTGCAGAATTTCAGTTATGAATCAATTTCGGTACTGACAGTATTTCAGTAAAGAAACTATTTCAGTCTGAGAGTATAATCTGAGTTCTGAGAGTGATTCAAAAAATGAATCTATTTAAGTACTTACAGTATTTCTGTTACGAATTGATTTCAGTACAGACAGCATTTCAGTAAAAGAATATTTCAGTACTGACAGTATTTCAGTAAAAGAGTCTGTTTCAGTACTGACAGTATTTCAGTAAAAGAATCTGTTTTAGTACTGACAGTACTTCAGTAAAAGAGTCTGTTTCAGTACTGACAGTATTTCAGTAAAATAATCTGGTTCATACTGCCAGTACTTCAGTAAAAGAGTCTGTTTCAGTATTGACAGTATTTCAGTAAAAGAATCTGTTTCAGTACTGACAGTATTTCAGTAAAATAATCTGGTTCATACTGCCAGTATTTCAGTAAAAGAGTCTGTTTCAGTACTGACAGTATTTCAGTAAAAGAATCTGGTTCATACTGCCAGTACTTCAGTAAAAGAGTCTGTTTCAGTACTGACAGTATTTCAGTAAAAGAATCTGTTTCAGTACTGACAGTATTTCAGTAAAATAATCTGGTTCATACTGCCAGTACTTCAGTAAAAGAGTCTGTTTCAGTACTGACAGTATTTCAGTAAAAGAATCTGTTTCAGTACTGACAGTATTTCAGTAAAATAATCTGGTTCATACTGCCAGTATTTCAGTAAAAGAGTCTGTTTCAGTACTGACAGTATTTCAGTAAAAGAATCTGTTTCAGTACTGACAGTATTTCAGTAAAAGAGTCTGTTTCAGTACTGACAGTATTTCAGTAAAATAATCTAGTTCATACTGACAGTACTTCAGTAATGACACTCTTTCAGTACTGACAGTATTTCAGTAAAAGACACTTACGGTATGGACTTTATTTCAGTAAAGGAGCCATTTCAGTACTGACTATATTTCAGAAAAAGAACGATTTCAGTAAAAAAACTATCTACAGACAGCGACTCAGTAAAGAAACTCCTTAAGTACTAATAATATTTTAGTTAAGAAACTTTTCAGTGCTGACACTATTTCAATGACTCCCATATGTCAATGAAGAGGGAATGTTAGTGCTATTTTAGGAGCTATTTTACAAAAGACAAAGTGCAAAAGAAAGAAAACACACATATCATTACACATGTAAGAACTTAAATGGATTGAAATGGGCTCTGATATAATAAACCTAACTCTAAAATATTTAGACATTTATGCAAGAATATTTTGGTGTTCACTTCAGAATCATCTACAGCTCCACTCATCCATCTAGACTTCTTCGATTTTTACAGCGTCCTACTAATTACTCTGTATTACTCTTACATCTCGTCTCCTGGTGAGTGAGTCGTAGGCAGAGAAGCGTGGGCGAGGGGACTGCAGGGTGGGCGTGGACACAGGGCTCGAGCTGCGGTTCAGGCCAAACAAATTCAGCTCAGATGTTGCTGGAGACATCAACTCAGGACTCTGAAACACATACATAACCCCTTTAAACTCTACAAGGTGGGTGTTTCTGATAAAGTGGCCAGTGTGTGGAAGTACAAGGTGGGTGTCTATGATAAAGTGGTAAGTAGTGGGGGGGGGCGAGTACAAGGTGGGTGTTCCTAATAAAGTGGCCAGTAAGTGAAAGTACAAGGTAGGTGTTTCTAATAAAGTGGCCAGTAAGTGGAAGTACAAGGTGGGTGTCTCTAATGAAGTGGCCAATCAGTGAAAGTATAAGGCGGGTGTTTCTAATAAAGTGGTGAGTGTACTTCCCAAATATCCTGAACTTTGTGGTGCTGGTAAATGCACACATACTGTATCTGTACCGTCTTATTTGAGAACAAAATAGAAATGTTAGGCACCTTGTATTCAGACATTCTGCTCGCAGGGTTGTACTCTATGGAGACGGTGGAGTAGGGACTGTTGAAAACTCTGGGAGGACTTTCAGTCTGTAAGATGAGAGAAAAGACATCGCTGTTAGTCAAGTAACAGCCTGCAAAGGCTCAGCAGGCCAGGAACTGAAGGGCTACTGTTTCCAGTGCCTGAGCAAGACAAGCATGTGATAAACTCCCCATATACTTAAAACTAAAAAGGCCATGGTCACAAATTAGGACATGCCCTTAAAGTACAGTACAAAACGGTAATTTAATGTAGAACATTATTTCAGTAATGGAACAATTTCAGGACTGACTTCATCTCAGCAAAAATCTACTGACTTTATTTCAGTATAGAATCTATTTAAGAGCTGACAGTATTTCAGTAAATAAAATATTTCAGTACTCACTTTATATCTGTAAAGGGTCTATGGCAGTACTGATCTTATTTCTGTAAAGCAACCATTTCAGTACTGATTTTTTTTACTAAAGAGCCTATTTCAGTACTGCCAGTATTTTTGTCTGTCAAACTGTTTCAGTGCTAAATTTATTTCAGTAAAGGACCTATTTCAGTACTTATTGTTTCAGTAAAGAATTTATCTCAGTACTGACTTTATTTCAGTAAAGTAACCATTTCAGTGCTGAATTTATTTCAGTAAAGAATTTAAATCAGTACTGACAGTATTTCAGAAAAGTAACAATTTCAGTACTGACTTAATTTCAGTAAAGAATCTATTTCAGTACTGAGAGCCTTTCAGAAAAATTATTTTAGTACTGATTTAACTTCAGTACAAAATCAATGTCAGTACTGAGAGTATTTTAGTAAAGGAGTTATTTTAGTACTGATTTAATTTCAGTACAGAATCTATGTCAGTACTGAGAGTATTTTAGTAAAGGAGCTATTTTAGTACTGAAAGTAGTTTAGTAAAGGAGTTATTTTAGTACTGATTTAATTTCAGTACATAATCTATGTCAGTACTGTGAGTATTTTAGTAAAGGAGCTATTTTAGTACTGACTTCATTTCAGTACAGAATCTATGTCAGTACTGAAAGTATTTTAGTAAAGGAGATATTTCAGTAATGACAGTATTTTAGCTGTTTCAGTATTGATTAGCCTTGTCACTAAAGCTCTGTATAAATATTTCCATATAGACACTCACCTTGTCAGAATTGCTGTCCCAGTCTTTAGACACCAAGGACTCCATTGAACGGCGGGTTATTGAGGCTTTGGAGATGGTTCCATTTGCCCCAGCGCCCAGGGGTCCACCCGGTCCGCTGGCACCATTCCCAACACGATCGGTGCCCAGGAACAACTGGTATTTTGGATTTGGGGGGCGTTTAGGGGTACCCGGCTCATCTTCAGACGGAGGCCTGTCCAGCTGCTTTTCTCTGTCAAACTGAAAGTCCTGCAGGAGAGAAAACACATAATTAGACGTGTTTGAGCATCTGTGTTTGTTAAGGTCTGTACGATATATTGTTTGTTAATTATTTTCATGAAAATTTCCTAAAGCCTGCAATATGCAAGTGAGTCTCTATCCAATTACAATGTTTCACTGTGTGCTGTGAGCGTCCTGATCAATCACAGGTGTTTGGATGTTTGAATGAATCAAGTCCCACCCACTGAGCTACTGTTGCTATGTCCATCAAACTTTCAGCTCTGCTAGTTGTTGTAACATCAGATCCTAAGGGAACTCGTCATCTTGTACCTGAGGTCTATTTATATTTATCTTCTATTATTCTATATTGTGGCTCTATAAATATTTATCTTTGCTCTGTTTTAAAAGCAAATACAAGCTCTATGTAATACAATTTAATTTAATGTAGAAGAAATTTCAGTATAATTCAAACACTGAGACGAAGAGTCTGAGTCAGAGGGGTTTGATGTGAAATGTTTCACTGTTCAGTGGTGTTGATAGGCCATTTTATTTTCTATACAAAAGCGCAAGTGAATCTACATGTCTTCATATTTTTTATATGTAATGGTTTAAAACAGTAAAATAGTGGTAAATCTGAAAAAATAAGTTTTACTTGAGGAATATTTTGCCTCACAATGTCCTGCATCAATGAATTTAAGGCAAAAACCTTGAAACTACCGTAAAACAATGTCTCAGATATCAGGCAGCATATTTATGCAACCTTCCGTGATGGAATTCTTAGAGTTCTCGTTTCTGCAGGTTTGTTTTATGGAGTTTGCCTTCACTTTACGGAGAAAGAAATGCTTTTTCAGAGTATTTTTTGAGGGGTGGGTCAATCCTTATTTTGCAAAGAGTCCATTCACCAACGTATTTTCACTTCATCGTAATGACTCACAATATGTAGCAATATAGTCACAGTGTGCAATTTCATCCTGATCATTGCTGAAACAAACACATGCGAATGCATGCACAGGCACATACATGCATACCAATTAAAAAGTGCTCAATCACCATTTGACACTGACATCACGTGCAAACTGAGCGGCGGTGGGCAGCAAGTAGTGTTGGGCGCACTTAAGCAAAGCTGAATTTCAGGCAAGGCCTAGCGCACAAGACACTGAGCGTAAAATAAACCAGCTCTCAAGCAGAATGTGCAGTAATCAGCCCTGTATTTGAAACAAGCGAGGCACAAAATCACCTTTACCTTGTTGCCGATTTGCCACAAATGTAGTCGAGGCATGAAGTTTGCTTCTTTAGTTTCGCACTGAATCATCACACACTTGCTAAACCGTGTGGAATTGGTCAGTAACCTCAAATAGACTTGCTTACATGGTTTCTGACTCTGTATGACACACTGTTATCTATAAACATGGGCTAAATATGCTAGTATAGCTAAAAACAGTAGCATCAACTATTTCGAACCGTACTTTGGACCATTCCTGACGATACCTGTATGTCATACAATGTCAGAAACCACAAAAACAAGTCTACTACAGCTCAGCACAGATTGAGGCAAGTGTGTGATAATTTAAGCATGATGCTAATTGCTTATCTGTTAGCTTGTTAGCTGCATTAGCCCTGCAGCTCCTCAAACGTGAAGTAAACATGTCTTGGCTGATCGACTACATTGGGGTAGTGTAAATCTGATTTTGTGCCAGCCTAATGCATTAACACTCTGGCTGAGGCAGGGTTAGTAGCGTGCTAATTAGCCAATTAGCAGTGCACGTGGATCAAAACCTGGCTGGTGCTGTTTGATGGCATTGTGTGCGGGTCATGCATGCGCATCCTCATGCAACTTGATGCAGTCTTGCATGCACCGTGGATCTGGTCCACTACACCGCACCTCCCCAAGACTTACCGGGCCGTTAGGCGGAGGGCCTTGGTCTCCAGAACCAATAGGGGGCGTAATCATTACAGCAGGAGCTGGACTTTCACGCTCTTTCACGCTTTCCATCCCGTCTTTAACTCTAACCGCATCATGACCTCTTTTGACCAAAAGTGTGGGGCTGCCATTGGGCGATGTCAGCCCATCGCCGTCGGAAACGGAGAACTTGTGAATGAGGTCTTTCACGCTTCCTGAGCGCCTCAGATTGGTCCCCTTCACCAGCGAGGTTTTTGTATTGGCTCTCCAGTTCTTCTCCTCGTCCTCCATGTTGGTGCGACCCTCGACGTGTCCGTTTGAAAGTTCGGGGGCGGAGTTACGCAAAGAGTCTTTGGTGTCTGTTCCCTGAGAAACATACCAGCCCTCATTTCAACATGGATAGTGAACCATAATTTCCACTGTTGATGAAAACACCTTCAACATTTGTCAAACTCTGATTGAAAAAGATAAATTTACACAATTTTCCCCAAAATGTTCCAATGCTAACGTTTCCAATAGCTCAGTCAAGACGGTTCACTTCTTTAGTTTTAGTCTTGGGACTACAAAGCTAATGTAGCTAACATGTAATGGAAGTTTATTAGCAGCAATTAGCACCATGCTAAACTGCTAGCCTAAATCATCACATACTAAACAAGGAGTGTAGAGTTGTTATGTAATCTTAGAATAGTCTATTAGAAATAGACTTGCTCACGTATCTTCTGATACTGTATGACATACTGTTTTGGATGAACATGGACAAAACCATGCTAGCATAGCTAAAATGAGTAGTAGCCTTGTTGACACCTGAATTTTGTCCTTCTTTATGGATAACAGTTTGACATACAGAGTTAGAATCCATGTTTAGTCATCAAGTAATCTCTAACAGACATACTTATGTGGTCTCCGAAAAAAATACGACTATCTGTTATGTATATTTATGGAGAAAAGTATGCTAGCATAGCTAATACAGTAGCAGCCTTATTGATGCTTACATTTTGTCCATGTTAATAGACAACAGTATGACATATAGAGTTAGAAAACCAAGCTGTCATTAAGTAATAGACTTCCTTATGTGGTTTCTGGCATTATATGACAATCAGTCATGTATAAACATAGACAAAAGCATGCTAGCATAGCTAAAAAGAGTAGTAGCTTTTGTTGATACCTGAATTTTATCCATATTTATAGATAACAGCATCTCATAGAGAGGTAGAATCCACGTGGAGTCATCAAGTAATCTCTAACAGACTTGCTTATGTGGTTTCTGGCAATATATGACAATCAGTTATGTAAATACATGGACAAAAGTATACTAACACAGCTAAAACAGCTATAGCCTTGTTAATGCTTAAATTTTGTCCATGTTTATAGATAACAGTATGAAATACAGTGTTAGAAACCAAGCTGTCATTAAGTAATAGACTTGCTTATGTAGTTTCTGGCAATATATGACAATCAGCTATATGTAAACATAGACAAAAGCATGCTAGCATAGCTAAAACAGTAGTAGCCTTGTTGACACCTGAATTTTGTCCATGTTTATAGATAACAGTATGATATACAGACTTAGAATCCATGTTGAAACTTCAAGTAATCTCTAAAAGACTTGCTTATATGGTTTCTGGCAATATATGACAATCTGTTATATGTAAACATAGAAAAAAGCATGCTAGCATAGCTAAAAACAGTTCTAGCCTTGTTGGTGCTTAAAGTTTATCCATGTTTCTTGATAGCAGTGTGACATACAGTGTTAGAAAGCACATAAATCTATCTGAGATTACTTAACAACTCAGCACGTTGAGGCATGTGTGTCATGATTGAGGCACGATGCCAATCGCTGCTAACACTTGTTAGCTTCATTAGCCCCGTAGCTCCAGTGCAGAACCAAAGAAGCCAAACATGTCTTGGCTGATCTACTACATTCGGGGTGTAAAAGTTATTTTTGTTGCCAAACTATTCCTTCAAGTCTCACGACAGCCAAAACAAATGTCTAAAGCGAGAAGCTTCCCAGCTAGCTTTACGCTAAACCAGCACTGCAACACAAGCCTCTTAGTTCAGGAATTCAGCTGAGTGTCTGGGCGTGTTACACGACATCACAGCTGCCAGATCGCCTCGGCCGTTACTGGAGAGCCGAGAGCGGAGGCAGACAGCATGAGGAAAAGCTCAGGTGGCGGCAGCAGCTATCCGTCAGACCTGTCCGCACCTGGGGCTTTGCAATTCCGCTGGGACGACAAGCAAGACATTGATTCGCAGTGGCGGCATCTCAGGACACGCCGGATACAGACGACGGCGAGTCGGGGTAAAGGCTGTCAACAGCGTCACGCCAGGCCAGGCCATGACGGACAAACTCTATCGTTTTAGGTGTCATATGGTGTTACAGACAGCTAGCCGAGGAATAGAGGCCGTCGTTGGCTGTCGATCCTCACTTCCATCACTAAAACAGAGATCAAACTCAAAGGGGGGACGTAACAGGGGGCAGTTCTGCAGGTCATATCACGAAAAGCCAAGATGTAAAGTGAGCTGACAGCCACGACACACACGGAGTAAAAGACTCAGAGGTTTAAAAGGTGTTGTCAAGCTCTGTTGAACTTCCGTGCCTGTCCTAATCAGCTGAACTCCGCGAACATAGCGGAAAATATCGGCAAGTATTTATTATAAAATCTCTATAGAAATTTCTACATTGTATAAATGTTTATCCAACACCATCGGCTGCTGACAAGCAACAGGAGTTTCCAGAACTGGAGTTCAAAAAATGCTAAAAGCTACAGAGAAGATGGAGCTCCTAACAACCACCTGGAAGAGCAGGTAGACACCAGAACTGCCCCCATCAGATAAACAGCACTTAAAGCTTTCATCTTTGAGAGAGAGGAGAAAATCAAGCTGCCTCAGATCGGAAAACACTTAATATTTGTTCTGCTTAAAAATGTTTTAAAAGTTTTTATTTTTATTTTTATTAAAGATTTTATTTTTTTAACCTCTAAATAATATTATATATCGGTGTTGATGAAGAAAACCTCGTATCTCCATTTTGTCGTTTTTCAATTTTTGATACATAAATTAAAAGTGCCGGTTGTTCTTTACATTGTGTGCAAGTTTTATGAAGAATGGACCAAAAGAAACGACCCAAAATGACTCGGAAAGACGTCTGGTTCCATTGACTTGCATTAAAAGTAAAGGTTTTTCCCTTCTACTGTAAAGTTACCATTTCAGAGATACGAGGTTTTGTTCTGACAACAGCAATATATATATATATATATATATGTATTTATAAAACGTTGTACACATAATATACACAGAATGTAACATAATTATCGTTCTGTTAACTTCCTATTCGATATTAAATGAACTTTTGAGTCAATTTACTTGCCTTTTTAAACAGTTTTTTACAGTGTGGTCTGATTTTGTACAGTACTGTATGTACAGTTGCGTGCAAAAGTTTGTTGATTTTCTAAGTGTAAACAAGTTAAAACATCCTTTACACATTTTAATTTTAATTTACTATACTGAGGGGGGAGAAAACACATAAATTGTGGCCTGTGCAAAAGTTAGGGCACCACTTAAACCCTGTTGTGCACTAAAATTAGCAGAAAAACGCCTAATTTAGATTTGTTTCCTGTTGAGAACATGTTAACTTGATGTAGTTATGTTATAAATGAAGTTTGGGGGGAGGAGCATGGCTGAAACCCCTCCTTCTTCCAATCTAATGCCCTATAAATGTTCCTCAGTCCTACATCAGTCCTGCTACAGAGTCCTCCCTCATACTACCACCGCCATGTTGAAGGCCTGGTCTGAACTCACAAATTTTTCCTTAGAAAATAAACAAAATCTGTAATTTGAGCCAGAGATGTTCAAACAGTTCTTTAAGCTGTTTCAGTCATCAGCGAGGGAGCTGTCGACACTCTGCCCCACCTACCAAATGCGTCCCGCGGAAGAGGTTGGGTAATAAATATATCACCGATGAAAGTCGATGATATTCATCTTGCATTGTCTGCGAAAGCTGAATCTTCCAGCAGCGCGGCCCTGCTGGATAATGTGTCTGTTTTAATTATGAGGGAGTCGCTGGGGGTTTGGAACGGCTGTAATGTGCACCATCATGTGGAAGGATGAACTTAATGTGCTGCTCTGCCAAATGTAATTGCATTATCGCATATTATTCCATGCTTAAGGGATTAGGCGGTTAGAAAAGCAACAAATTCAAATTATATAAGCTCTGTGCGTCACTCTCTCTTTCTCTACTTGTGCATTTCTCCTTTTCTAGAACAATTTTCTGCAGCACGTGACCTTCAGTAATCAAAAAACAGCGACACCTTAACATCTGGCCATCGGCAAACGAGCACGACCCCGACCCCAGGACGAAAACACGGCAACGAAAGCTGCCACCGTAATTGAATACTCTTTATATTAATGAATAAACAGAACATAATTATGCTAATGCAGGTTATGCAAATTGGCCAGTGTCCAGTGGATTACTTGGATGAAGAAAATCCGGCCTAATCCAGGGACTCGCCCAGCGTTCTTCCCCAGGGAAAGCGCACTGGGAGTGGGGAAAAGGGCCAGCGCGCTCCCCCTGGGCCTCAATGCTAATCGCTTACTGTATTTAAAGGGCCTTAGAGGGATAATCGCTTAATCTAGACTTTAATATGATTAATTCCCCCCCCAAAATATGATCTCATACGATGATGAACGCTTTATCTCTTATCCCACCCCCGAGACAAAAGCCAGGCGAATCTGCGATTGGAGCAAACGAATCAAAACTAAATAAAAGCATATAAGCATATAAGCCTGTGACAGCTTGCGATTCATCTTTATGACTGGAATCATTATCATGAGAAAAAAAGAAACAGTGCGTTTTTCTAAGGAAATCCCTAAAGCACTTCTTTCCGTCAGGGACGCCAATCCTGCCGCAGAACCCAAACAACAGAGCGCTGCTGTTGCCAAGCCCATCAACGCAGCAGCAGCAGTCCCCCCCAAAAGCACTTGCTCCTGAACTGAGTGTGTTATTCGGTGTGTATCTGTGTCTGTACTTATGTGTCATAATAATATAGCCCATATGTGTTATATACAAGTAAGTACCTATTTTAATCTTAAATATATGTGCAAATAGCTGCATCGCTACTGTCGGAGCGAAACCTCGTATCTCCAAAATGGTTACATTACAGGAAAAGGAAAAAACCTACACTATTTATAATGTAAGTCAATGGAACCAGACGTCTTTCCAAATCATTTTGGTTGATTCTTTTGGTCCATTCATCATGAAATTTACAGACAATGTAAAGATCAACACACGATTTCAAATTATGTTGAAAAAATGAAAAACAATGAAAATAGAGATGCGAGGTTTTGTTCCAACAACAGTGATAAGTAGT